TTCTATATCATTTTATAACGAAAAAAGCTTATAGAAAAAATATGAAGGCGTAGTTGCAAAAGAGGAAGAAAAACGAAAAAAGTCGTTCAAACGACAATTGAAAGAAGCTCAAGAATGGGGCTACGCAGATCTTCTTTACAAAAAGGAAGCAATTGAAACCGATATAACCATATCAGAGGCAGAGGCAGATAAACGAGAGGAACAGGTAGGATATTGCAGCAAAGATAGCACTTTGCCTCTTATTGAGCTTAAAAACAGCTTTTAGTTTGTGAAAGTACTTACACGTCAACGACGAGAAGACTATGAGAGCTTGGGAAGGAAAAGAAGAGAAAAAGCATGCACAAGGTTTTTTGGCAGTGCTCTTTTCGTCCTATGTGGAATCGCTTTCGTCTTCTAGAGTCAATCTTTTGAGAATGCAATAAAAAAAGGACTCAAAAACAATTCAGCTTTCACAAAAAAACAAACCTTATAACGAACAATAACAACAAAAAAAAACAAGTACAAATTAGCTTGAATCAATTGCCCACAAAACTTTATCGTAACCAATGTGTTTGGATGAATACCTTCCAGCTGCTCTACTTAGACAAAAACAATGGAAATTTCAAGTGATTAGGGATGGTTAGCTAGAACAACAGAAGAGATATCACGCAGTGGAAAACCGATAATTTCCCTCTTTCTACAAGCAAAGATTGTCAATTTCCGAGACAAGCAAGGCAGTTACCCAAACACATTTACATTCATTGTTTGTATTAACTGTGAGCTTCATATCCTCAATTGATGAGTTCTTGCTTGAAATAAGACCTGAAGCTAAGACATTTAAAAAGCAAATACTTTCCGGAAACAGATTATAAACGCTTCCTTCAAGGTGCCAATGACAATAGGCAAAGTAGAAAAAAGAGATGGAGCGGTAAAGAAAACGGCTGTTTGCGGGTTCTGAAAAAAGGCTTATTCCAAGATGTACTCGTAAAGAAATACTTCAAAAACTGTCAAACCGCAATTTAAAAAAATTAAGAAACAAGATAAAGGCACATAAGAAGCCTCTGATTAGTAATTTCATAGCTAAAGACAAGAACACTTTCCATTCAAGTATACACAGGACCAAAGGAAAAAAAA